GAATGATGTCGAGAGGTCCGCGCCCGGGCCTGGTTCGGCGAGTCCCCGCTATTGTGCTGCATGCCGCTCAATGACCGTCGCTCATTACTTCAGCCCGCACAGAAGAAATTGTCTGCCGGCCGCGAGAATTCCGAGCTTGTCTTGGTCAGGGCGCTTCTGCGCATCGATGCCGCCGCGCATCCGTTTGCTGCACTTGGTTTGTCAGTGGCTGCTTGTCAGGCCTGCTGCTGTTCTGCTTTTGGGTTGTCACGTGCTAGATTCTAGACAGGGAGATCACACTCGGCGCATGTGTGCAGGGTGGTCTTTCAAGCCTTCGGCAAGCAGTCGCAGATTGCGAAGCGGTTCTGACTCCGGCACTCTCCACCGAAGCCGGCAGCAATGTAATGATGTGTAATTAATTGACGCGCTCGAGGCGACTGGTCTCTGCTTGTCTTTACCGTTCGGTACAACTGGCTCTATCCGAGATCTGCTCCAGAGCCTTGCAGCCGAGGACGGTCAGCAGGACCGTGCAAGGCGAGCACTCTCAAGAGCTTTTATGCAGCATTTGGCAGTTGTGAGCCAGTTGTCTGGCTGCCAGCACAGGGATGCCCCCCATTATCAACATGTTGAGGTGCAAGAAGCAGCCGCCGAAGTCGAGTCCTTCATGGGAACCTCGGCATTGTTGCGAAGAAGGATTTTGCTTCCAAGTGCTGAAGGTGAGCTGGCAAGGATGGTCAGGCATCTGCAGCAAGGCTAGATCTGTATCTTGTCCACAACAAGGAATGGATGTTTATGTCACGCAGATCCTCGCAGAGCTGTACTACCTCATTGACGAGGAGGGGGGCATTCCTTCTCCGAAGCGTGCGGCGGCCCTTTTAGGTGCGGCTGCCTGCATTGCTACATGTTGCTACTATGGGCAGCAAGGCGCTTTCACGCTGTCGGGAAGGTTTGTGTTAAGCGCAGGTGTTGAGCCGGGCTGCGGAGAGGCAGCCGCTCAAGCTGGCATCGACCGGCGTTACCGGGCTTTGCTTGCACAGCTAGCTGCTGTGAGCAGTTGGGCTGCAATCGAAGGTACTTGGAATGATTTCCAGTATCAGGAGCAGTGTGCTTCGCCCGGTGTGCGAGGTCCGGGCCACTCACAACGTGCATTCCGAGTCCTGGCGGAGCTAGCAGATGCCGCGGCACGTCCTTCAACTCCCCCGCTGTGGATACCTAGTGGCGATCGCTCGGCAATCTGCCGAAATTCAGATGATTCGGGTTGCTGTGGCATTTTTTGCTTGAAGTGACCAGGAACGCACTGAGGGCGGTGGTACCGGCACTCGTGATTTCGTCGGTGAATACTCGAAGCCGTTAGCGAGCGACAGACACACCATTCACCGAGGTGAGAGTGACAAGAGCCCTTGGTTTTCGGGATCTCAAGCGGCCAAGGCGCTTGATTTAATTTGCTTTCTAGATTGTTGTTGTTCAAGTCCAACAGGTTATTGCCTGATGTTCGTAATGCTCGACATGCTTCCTGGAGCCGTTTGGCTTCACCTTGCTGACAGGCCACTAGTCGGCCTGGAGCTTTCGTCCGAGATTGTCCGGTTGGATGCCGCGTGCCTGCACTGCGGAATTTCAGTCAGAGTCAGGCAGTAGGTCAGGTTGTGTTGGGTGTTACTTTCCAAGAAGTCGGGATAACGATCAATGTCACATTTTTGGTGCAACCTGTTGATCTGCAGTGCCTCTTGAGAGGATGGGCCGCAGCTCCTGGCGCTTCTCTCAGACGGCGCTCGTGGTCTCAGCGAGCAGCGGTTGGCCGAGGTGGCAGCGGCTGCTCGGACATATAGATAGTCTTCATCAGCTAAACTTCGCTTTGGTCGCTTTTTTTGCTGGTCCGCTCTGGTAAATTCAGTATCAAGAAGAAGTGGACACAAATAATGCTGGCTTTGCGGTGATGATTCCAAAACACTGGTGACGCTGCCGGGTTCTTACATTGAGAGTAAAGCATAGAGGCACGGTGGGGTGCCGCAGCTCACCCTGCGGCACGGTGCGCAATTCATCAACATCGCTGTTTCACCGCTTTGGGATGCCTTCGCGAAAGTAACATGGGAAATGCAGCGCTCCCCAGTTTGCAAACATCGCGCCTGCTCCGACACGCACCGTGGTGAGGATTAGATCTTTGTCTTCACATCGTTTCCGGGATTGAAAGCTTTTGATCTACATAGTTCAGGTTTGGCCTCTCGAACATTTCAAATTTTGCTCTGGTCTCGATCGAACCGTTGGAGTTTTCCAAGCTTTCGAATCGAGCGATGTCGTGCTCTCGCAACGATGCCATCCGCGCTTCTTGGTTTTCGCACGTTTTTCTGTGGAATGTGGCAGCTTTGACCTTCCCACCTCAGGCCCTCCCGCCGGCATCCTCAAATGGTGGTGTGCTATGTTACGATGTCGTGGGGTTTACGTAGGCATGTCTCTCGTGACGCCCTCTTTGTAGAAGAGCGTGTCTTCCTTACATACATGAGCGGTAGAAAATAGAGTCGCAATATGTCAGGAACTATAGCTGTTGCTCTGCCCACTCTTTTGTGCAAGCGTATCGTCCCATTGCCATGTTGCCCCTAACAGTGTCTCAAAAAGAGTTTCGTCTAATCAGTATATCGTCAGGTCATAATTGGCGCAAGCGGGGGGCCCAAACACCAATGCTTTTTAGAGAAAAGCTTCACATGTTTGCTGAAAGCAGTGTCCTAACATCTTGCCCAAAGAGTGTTCCCGAAGAGCTTCGCCCATGATGTTAGTAGGCAAGGGTGGCCATGCCCCCATGGCCAGTTTGCAATGTTGAAGCTTGGTCAGAACAGGATAGCGCCCAATGCTCTCGAGAGCTTTTTTCCAGCACCAGGTCCACCACAGCCGACCCAAAGCGGCTTCGATGCGCACCTTGCCGGACATCAGTTTGTTTTTTTCCAGCTATTGCACCCTGGTTCCTGCATGTCCTCATCGTGTTGTAATCAAAAGAGATTTGGCATTGCATTGCACTATATTGCACTTTGGACTTCGGACCGCTTGTGTTGTCGCTTCGAAGTCCTTCAGATCTTGCACAATTGAGGCCAACTAATACCACATCCCATGCTACCTGCACCGACCAGCACCGCATAATCGACTCGGATTCAACAGTCAGCCGTGCAAGCCAACATGATGCGGGCAATAGAAGCTCCCCCTTCTGCAAGTTGCGTCATCTCCCAAATTCGAAGCAATCATGACCAAGCCGCAGCGATCGCAGTCCGCATTGCATACCGCGAAAAGTGGCAGCTGCTAGCAAGGCATTGCTGCTGATGCCGCTTCTTCAGAACTACCAGGTGAAGCAGTTGGTGTGATTGCAGCTGCCTTGCAGGCCTCGATGCTGGGTAACTGATGCAAGCGATCACAAGCAGTCCCTCGAACTTGGACCCTGTGCAGGTTGGTACTGAAACGGAGAGCAATCCCGCTGCTGATGCCAAGGGGCCTGAAGCAAAAAAGCGGAAGGTCCGGTCGTCAGACAGTCAAGAGAGACGTTGATTTGTTGCGGACTCACAATGAGGTGGAACACGTTACGCCCGGTGGCAAGCGCAAAGTTCGCGTTGCCTCCCTATTGCTGAAGTACGCCGGAGCCCCTTGTTTGCATTTTGGTGCAACTGGACAGTGTCAGCATTGCATGAACCAATGCCGTCAAACTTTTTCTGGTGTCAAATGTTTTTGGACCTCGCTAGAAATCACGGCTGGCTTGCAGGATGGTCTTGTTCAGGGATTGTCGTGCAGTGCTTTCCAAACACTGCTCTGATCTGTGTCGCAGGTCAGCGAAGCTGACTCCTACGCACGGCGCAAGGCTCCGGCAAATCGCTCACAGGCCTTACGGTTGTTCGTCTGGGCAGCTGTTCGTGGCTTGCAGCCCAGCCATGACCAGGTGGATGCGGAAAAGCAGCTTTTACAGGTGGAAGATAAAGCTTCTAAAGCTTTGTTCGAAGTCTTAGCGCTTGGCATCTTTCCGCAGGTCCTTGAGGCTTTGAGCCAGGATGCCAAGACTGGAGAAGCAAAGGCTGGCTAGATGATGTATGTGTCGTGTAGACTCTCGGAGATCGGAACTTTTTTGTTGTTGCTGTTGTGCTGTGCAGCTGAAGCACCGAGAAACCAGCAAGTGAGTGATCGGCAAGTCCGGACCCAAACAGAAAGCACAAACACACAGCAAAAACAAGACTTGTTGATGCTTGTGGTGCGGGGGTTCGGGTGGGGGACCAAAAGCAAAACATCAAACACACACACACACACACACCACACCAACAGCAAAAACAAGACTCTTACTGGACCTTCAGGAGCTCCCCCATCATGCAAAGAGAGAACTTTTAGAATGCAGTCGATGGCTCTGTGTGCCAGTTGGAGGACCTTGGCCTCCGATTTGCGGCCAAATGTGAAGCTCTGTCGGTCGGTTGGCTTACAGGGGAGCAGCCTTTTTTTTTGCTGCCCTTGGCTTCGCGCAGCCGAGGACTGCAAGTCTGCAACGAACAAGCCTCACGCAGATCTTGGCTGGGTCTTGGAAGGCGATAGTGGCAGACGTTGTTCTTGCTGCAAGCTGTTCGCTCGTGCCATGGCAGTTAGGCCAATTCGGCAAAGATTTCGATGCGGTAGCCTTCGATTTAGATGTGGCTCAGCAGCGCATATGCTTGCTGGGACGCTGTGATCTGCATTGGCGAGTTTTTCGACTGTCTCGACCAGTCTCTGCCCATACCCCGACACCAAGTTCCGAGGTTGGTGGCTTGAGCGACATCTTCACCACAGCCCGAGGGGCACAAATCATGTACAGACTCGCCTGAGGGGAATTTGTCGGCAGATGTGGGCGGGCTTGGCTTGCACCGCAATGCCGAAGGCGTGTTTAGAGCTTCGAGCTTCTGATGCCTCTTAAGGTGTCGGAGAAGCATGATGCCGGCTCGGTCTGAAATAGTCGCGGTGGCCGCATCCGTTCTTTGCGTCAAGGTTAGTCCATGCCCTGTGCTTATCGACATGTTGAATTTGAACTCCAGGAGTACGATGGCTTTCTCGCTTTTGCCTACGCAAAGCGAGCACAGGTCTGTTGCTTCTGCTTCTTCAAGCACGTTCGAACCCAGCCCGACCTGAAATACGCCCGTTACCCTCCCGGCGGAGGTGCTTCTTTGCGAACACTGGGCCACGGAGTTTCCGGAAGTGAAAGCTGTCAGCTGCCACACAGGTTCCTGGCGTGGTTTCATGCAAAGAAATGCCACATCGGTGGCTGCAGATCATGGTTCCCCTCCTTTCCAAGCTCCGGCTCTGCCGAGGATGGGTCGAAGACAGGCTATCACACGACATGTACGGAGAAAGCGCCCCTGCCCTGAGTTCATTGATTTCGGACAGACAGCGTACTGTTGCGTTCGGGACACGAGCGCAAGCGGGCTGATCTCCACTGAGAACCCTTGCCACAAGGTGCCGTGCTATTGGAGCCAATGCGCGATGCTTGGGCAGGTGCCGAGGCCTCCGCCTCAGCATGGTTTGACTATTGGATTGCCTTATGCTGTCGTAAGCGGACTTTGGCATGCAGGGCATCGCGTGGCTTTGCACTACGGCATCTCGCAACCTCGTTTCAGGCCGAACCTAGCGAAACCATCGAGATTTCACTGCTTTCGAGTTGCACACGCAGGTGCCTTCTACTTGGACAAGGAACCACAGAGCAAGCACCTTGCAGGTGTCGTTCTCAATCGAGGTAACGAGACTCTACGATCCGAATTTCGTGAAGATGCAAACCTTTTGGGGCGAGAGGGGAAACATGCTTCAACCGTTCAATGCGAGCTGAGCTGTAGCGGTTGTAGCGTGCAGGTACTTAGACAGTGGGGTGCATTTCAAACGGTCGAACACTCTGAGGCCCCTTCTTCTCCGAGGGCACAGCAACTCACAACAGCACTGCTCTTACTGTTGATGTCACGTGATCTCGCATAGGCCTTAGTACTTGAATGAGCCGCCCAACTCAGAATGATTCTTGCAAGGAGTACATGCGCGGAGTGACTTACCGTTGCCATCACCGCGGCTGAGGCAGCACCGATGTTCACCTCTTCCTTGTATGCTTACAGGCCCAGAAAAGCTGCTTGCACAGAGCCAAACCGAAGACTTTTTGGTGTTGGATCACTTTGGAAGGAATGGAGCCATGGCCAGCGAGTGGCGACAGTGCGGCTCGACGTCTTGCATTGGCTGTTTTCGGATGTGTGGGATGCACGGCCGTCCGAGTACGTCGGGGAGTGCCGGTGGTGATTTCTGGCAGCGCTTAGCCAAGTCGTGAGCCGAATAATGACCACAGCACAGCTCGGAACGAGGCGGCGTCCCGCAAAGAGTGGCTTCCCTCTACTGCAAGATGCCGCTGTTACAGTGCCCTGACTGACCAGGTGATTGAAGCGGTGATAGCCTCAAGCCACCCAGCTCCACTCCACTCGTAGGTGGTTTTGGCCTGGAAGAAGTCTCATCGAGCAACTTTTGTGATGTTTCCCTTGAAGCTTGGCTCGATCGCCGAGGATGGCTCTCGGTTTCAGCTCAACAAGTTCATGGGCTTTTGGTATGTTCTTTGGCACATTCCCAGTACTTGGGACAAGGCCGAGCTTCGTGCATGGTAGCTTGCAGACCCCTCTGTACAGTTGCTCGGGCCCATGCTCATACCCGAATCGAGGAAAATAGAGGCTCCCGCCGAGCATCCCAGGGCGATCTGGCACTGACGCGGGTCTTTTTCTGCACCGCCGAAGCTTGAGGAGACCAAAACACACACGTCTTCCGAGAGCTCCCAAGTCTCAGAAACGGAGAGCTGGGTGGACACCCCTGTCTGGTGTTTGACCAGCAAGGGACCTAGTGGCAGCTCCTTCGGAAGGAGGTTTAGGTTCGACACCGAAAGCATGCGAAGATGCCAAGTGCAAGCCGGGCTGCTATGTGCGTTCGCGGAAGGCGTGGTCTAACATCGTCAGGGATTACAAGCTGGACGCATCTCAGCCCCTCGGCACAATATGGCCCACACCTGCAAACTTGCAGCATGTGCTCTCGCCGAGGTCGGTGGTCACGGCCCGCCAGATCAGTCGCGAGGGTGAAAAACGAATCATTCACGAGGAGCTCTTTCGCTCTGTCCTTTGGTGCTTTTCAGATTCACGGTACAGCGCCCTAATGCGACAGCCTGTCGACCTAGACCACGCCACTCATCTGTCATGATGCGAGTGATCGCATCGCAGGAGCACCTGGCAGTGATGGGGTCCCAATCTGAGTTTCAGCGACAGCCGCAAGTTGGAGCGAGCTCGAGGCTGCAACTTGGCCGGATCTTAAAAAGAAGTGAGAGGAAAGGGGTCTTTTAGTCTTTTGGCTTTTGGTGAGCCAATCAGTGCTTCGAAGCTTCAGCCGAGGCTTCCTCGATACGTGGTGCTTTATTGCCCGAGGCTCAGGACTTGGAAGCAGCGACTAAACGCGTGGGCGTCGTCGTTCTCAAAACTTTGGCATTTCTTAGGCTCTGACAATGCCAAAGCCAGGACCTGAGAGAGCTCTTGGATCGGGAGCTCAAGCGAGCTCGCACGAAGTTGGTGTGATGTGGGTACACTCTTTTGGACATTTGAATTATACCGAAAGCAGGTAGACTAAGTAGAGCGACAAGCCAGCCTGCAGACAGTGCCGATGCTTGCGCGCGTGCAGTTGGGCAGGGGTAGGGGCCTGCAATGGCGCGCACAACAGAAGCTCAGAAGTGCAGAAACTCTTAGAGATGGGAGAGAATCAGACACTGTGAGTGTGAGAGAGTCTTGTCAGCAAAGAAGCATGGTTCGTCGGGCGTGAGCCTTGAGCCTCAAGTGGACTGCACGAAAGGTCATTGTCATATAAGTCCAGCAGCAGAGTGGCGAGAGAGGGGGCGCATGTGCGCTGGGAGCTAGCAAGCAAGCAGGAACGGGACAAAGTGAGTTCGAGAGAGTCAGGCGGGGAGAGGACAGGTGTTGCCCTACATCGTGCGCAGTGAAGTGGCCGGCGGGGGGAGGGTGGGGCAAGGGCTTTCAGACCGAGTCGCTCCGAGCCCCAACCTCGCGTGCGACGCGCCCAGAGACGGGTTGGCTGAATGGAAGATGACCTGAGAGGCTGGAGGGCATCTGCTCCCCTTCCTCACAAGCTCCTCACAAGCCCACCAGGCGAAGAAGCCCAGATCTTCCCAAAGCATTACTCAGTATCGTGGCCCCGCCGAGGACGAGCAAAGCTACACCGTGCAAGCTGATGTAAGGGAATTGCTTGAGATGTCTCGTTCAACCCTTGGGGACAAAGGGAGGGGAGTGATGGGGTTTGCACAGGTCCAACGTGAGCTTTGGTGGATATTCCACCCGCACAAAAGCATGTTTGATGTCCGAGGCAAAGGCTTTCACCAGTGTAGGGAGAACGGCAAAGGTTCCGATTGTACAGTACCATGAGACATGAGATGCACGTAGCGCAACCACCAAACCCGCCTTGTCAGCTTTTGGAGGTTGGAATGATGGGCACAAGTGATCGCAGCAAGCTGTGGATACTGTCGCGAGAGTCAACTATGGAGCCGCAAAGTCTGCAGAAGCTTCGTGAACATGCCAAGAAGTTCGGCCATCCGGCTGCACTCCAGCTAAACTGATCTGAGCGGTGCATGCAGCTTCTTGTGGTGATCACTCGAGATGCAGGACCTGCCCTGCAAGTGCAGGCTTCAGGCTGACTGACTTGATCTCGGTGCCGCAGCAGTGGAGACAGGACGAACTTCATTGCGAATCGCGTGTGTCAGCTCACCTCTGAGACTTCTACACTCTAACGGACTTTAATTAGTGCACTACGGACTGGCACTGCAGGGTCTGGCTGCAGGACAAGGCTTCGAAGCAGAACGACCCCAACAAAGGGTGTTGTCCCCGTGTGTGAAGTCGAAGTTGGCACGTCGCACCTGGGCAGAAGTATGCAGAAATCCATGAATGTGCTGCGCTTGCACGTTTGCCAAGGTTGTGCTTGGGGCCTTGGGGTGCGCTGTCCTACGGTCCTACGGCTTACACCAGGGCCCTGGCACAGGAGCTGCTCCGGTGCCCTCTTCCAGCCCACGGATGCCAACACCAGCAAAAGGCACGCAACGCGCTCCTGGCCGCTGTTTTGCGACGCACAAGTGACACCCACGACCATCCCGAGTTGCATCAGTGGCAGCATCGATGCCTTGGGCATGCTTCGCGCGGCGGGGCTCGTTCTGAGAGTTCGCAATGTGGAGGGGCTGGATCTGTTGACGCTGGGGCAGGGGAGGCTAAAGCACACAACCATTGGGCTTTGGCCTGCATGGAGAAGACACCTCTCAGCTCTACATGGGGACTGCTGCTGACGCGGTGCGCAGCCGTGGTGTTCATTCTCTGGCAAGGCTAAAGTGCTCATCTTGGCAAGTTGAGTTGGCTAGAAGGTTCGCTTGTCGTTGACTGCATTGAATGCCTGGAGAACTAAAACAGATGCGTCCAGGTTTCCTTCGGTAGCTGGTAACCTGCAAATTCTTTATCAGTGCCTTTCATCCAGCGCCGCCACAGCCCAAACAGACTGCGGTCCTTGGTTTCGGCTCCAGCACCCGCTCCTGGAAAGTCCACAATTCAGGATGTTCTCCGCCGAAGCTTCAGGGCCGAGCCCGCTCGACCGTGACGGGTTGGCGAGGCTTTGCGCGGCCACACCATGCGGTGGCTAGCGGCTGGTATGGTGATGTTGCGTTCAACGAAGAGAAAGAAGCTGCAGCTCTGCGTGAAGCCAGCTAGGCACGCTGGCGGCACAGACTCCGGCGAGTGTATCCAATGGTAGACTGTGGCACATGTCAAGAGAGCCCAAACTCCCGAGCTCTAGAGCGACACGTTGGAAGCAGGCTCCGTGGCTGCTCCACCTGTTTCGTCGCTCCTCAGTTCAGCCAGATGCTGTGGCTCACCACCGCCTGACCCCGATGGCCTCCACGATACAGATGAGACGTCAGTGGGCCGGCGTTCTGCTGCTACTACGGGAGCTTCCGCTGGTCAAGCTTACGCCGGACGACGTCGTGCACAGTACCGCGCTGAAAACGCTCGTTCAAAACCATCGTTGGGAGCAGGCAAAGTGTGTGCTCGGACGGATCTTGTCAGATGGATCTGAGATCGATGCTGCCGCTCTGACTACATCAGGTTGTGCCGCTGATGTGGGCGAGAGGTGGAGAGCTGCAGCTGAACTGTTCGCGCGCATGCAAAAGCACCGGCTGCGGATCGATTCTGTGGTAGGGTGTGTCGCAGTTTCTGCGAGCCATTGGGAACAAGCTTCGTGTCTGTTGATGACGCTGGATTTTCATTCGGTGGAATCCAATCTTCAAGTTTGCAACGCCGCCGCGGTGACGCTTGATCGTGTCAAGCAGTGGCAGAGAGTGGTCGCTTTCACCTCCTGGCCGGGCAGGGCTGTTTGTGACGACCTCACACTTGCATCTGTGGTGCGTGCTCACAGTGAGCGCAGTTGGCATCGGACGTTGGCGATTTTGGCTTTGTGCCATTCGTCTGGGACAAGATGCCTTCCTGCCGTCCTCGATTCCTGCGCTGCAGCACGAGAGTGGCCCAAGTCCTTGATGCTCTTGTCACGATGGCGGGGGATATCAATGCGCATCGATGGGGCAACACGGAATGGTATTCTCCTTGCAGCCAATCCGAACAACTGGATACACACGTTGAGTGGGTTGCAACGGTTGGCGACGCAAGGCAGCGAATACAACCTTATACACTTCGTCGCGGCAGAGGCTGTAATGGATGACTGCGGAGCATGGTTCGAAAGCCTGGAGCTATATCGCAGCTCAGTGCAGATGTCTCTAGGCCCCACGTTGGAAACTTGCAGCCTCGCTTTGCGTGCATGCAGCCGATCTCGCGCGTGGCAGCAAGCTCTCTGGATTCTTGCCGAGGCCGAAAGCAGTAGAGTCAAGCTGGACAGCATCGTTCTCAACACTCTGATCACCACCTTGGACTCCGAGAACTGGAGAAGGGCCCTGGACCTTTTCTCATCACGCAACAGCCAGTTGAATTCGGTGTCGCACAGGGCCACGATGCGGGCCTTGTCAAGTGTCGCCTCTGCGAACGGTGAAATCTGGCAGCTGGCTGCGAAGATCTTCCGAAATCTGGGCAAGGTCAGACTGAGCATCGACTCGGCATCGTGTGTAGCAGCCATTGAGGCTTTCGGCTGCAACCAACAGTGGAGACAGGTCGGTGTCTTGCTCAGCAACCAAGCGAACAGCAATGTCCTCACCGATGTGGCTTGACAGCACCGAGCGCTCCACACCGTGGGAAAGGTTGCGACGGCAGTTTGGCAATAGCACCTCGCAGAAGTGTCGGCATGCGTGGAAACAGACAAAACACGAACAGACTGCAGGAGAATCGGAAGTTGGGACCGGAGCGGTTGTGGTGAATTGTTGCGGATGTCGCAAACGGGAGAGAGTTTCGGATGAGCTGGGTACTGCGTGCAGAGGCATTGCTACAGGTTGGCGGAGGGGCCGGGTTTTGGAACAGAGAGACCAATGAATAGCCTGGCCATTCCATGGCTGGACGATGCGATTCTGTTTGGGGTGTGATTGATTGCAAAAAGATCAAGATGAGATCAAGAAACAACTCGAGGAGTCTCCGCAGGCTAAGTGCTACTGCGAATGGACGTGTTTTCTGTTGGAGGGCAACCGTTCTTGAGAAGCGAGGGCCGCCGTGGCCGTACTTGAGCTAAGTCGGGGCGAGCGTTCTCCCATTGGCCTGAATTGGTTGTCACGCTTCGTGAGCTCAGGTGCCGATGCGAAATGCCTTCGTGACATGCTGCACCCGGGCTTCACATTGGAACCACGCCCTTTCGCTCTTCTATGCTTCAGGTGCCTCAGCCAGGAAAGCTGCAGCTGTCGATGTTGCAACATGACTTCTGTTGCTTCTGCGCCGTCCAGGTCTCGGGCTTATGCCTGACATCGTCTCGTACGGTGCCGCGATCTCTGCCTGCGAAGCCTCTAGCAGCTGGCATTCTGCATTGGCTTTGCACATGCACATGCTCATGCAGAGGCTCCAAGTCTCAACTATTGCACAGGGTGCCCTGATGAACTCAATCGGCTCGGAATCGAAGTGGCAATTGACGTTGCTTTGCATGGCAGAGCTAGACCACCAGAAGATGGCTCATAACGGTGCCTTCAGTGCTTGCGAGAGAGTCAGCTGCTGGCATCAAGCCTTGCAGCTCCTGCAGGGGCTGTCGCTGAGACACCTCCAGGTCGAGGCTTCGAGCTTCAACTCGGTGGTCAGTTCTTGCGGGAAAGCGAGTGGAAAGTGGGAGACCGCCCTTGAGGTTCTAAGATCCATGCCCTTGCGCATGGCAACACCCGATCTTTTGACCTATGACTCGGCCATGATGACTTGTATAAGGTGTGGCGAGACCCAGGCAGCCTTGGACACGCTTTCTGAGCATGAAGGCCTCCGTTCACCGCTATCCTATCTGTGGTCCTTATCTGCGATGTGTGCATCAGATCCCGCTGTTGTCGAAAGGGCGTGCGTCAATGCTGGAGATGTCGCAAGCTGGCAGGAAGCAGCAGATTCTGCATTATTTCTGTACTCAACAGCTCTACTGGGAGCGCGCGGCCAAATCCATACCGCAGCTGCACGGCACGCCTTGGAGAGGATGCGATCGCTGAGCCTAGACATGTTGGTGATGTGCTGTTGGGGTGCCATTGGATTGCATGGATCGGAAAAACTTATGGCGGCATCAGTGGCACGTGCCCAACAGTTGTTGGCATTTGTTGGCCGCACGACGAGCTTGCACACCTACGACTTTGAAAAGTCTGGAATCAAGCTCTTGGGTGTCGTTTTTGCTTGTCGGCTGTCGGGGTGCCTGCCTGCTCGCTTCTACGCATCTGTTCGACGGCTTCTTCTCCAGGTTGGACAGGATTTGGACGCCAGAGCTAGTGCTGGTAGAGATAACGTGCGGCTTATCCCTCCGAGGGCCGAGAAAGTACCGAGGGACTCGAGGCCTTCGGTTCTCGTAGATCTGCTGGATCGGGCGGCGATGTACAAGCCGAGAGCTTGGGAGGTTTATGGCGGCCACTCCCGGCTTCAGCTCGTTGCCTTGGCCGTTGATCGCTACGGTGATCGGCCAATCTTCCGCGATGAAAAACATCACTTCGGCTTTCTGCATCGGCTCGATGTCCCCAGCTCAGGCCTGGTCGTCGTCTCGAAAACCTTCGAGGCCTTCTATGACTTACAGCTGCAGCTTCATGCCGGCAAAGTGTGCCGGGACTACGAGGTTTTGTGTCATGGATGGCTCCCCCCAAGGGCTGAGTTCACGGCGAGGATCTTCTGGCACGGCGATGGGCCTAGCATTTCAGGTGGACGCGGAAGACCAAGCAGTACACTCATGTTGCTGTGCCGCCACTGCTTGCATTGCTTGGGAGCTCTTAGCAGTGTTTCGCTCCGCCTCCGCACAGGAAGGAAGCATCAGATACGAAGCCATCTGGCACATGTTGGGTCCCCAGTGGTAGGGGACGAGGTGTATCAGACAGCTGCCACCTACCGGGCTGACTCCGAACATTACACTGGCAACTGGCTTCACCGCAACAAGATTTCTTTCCAAAGCTCATCCGGCAAGCATTGCGAGGTGCAGTGCCCGCTGCCACCAGATTTATCCACACTGCTGTCTCAAGTCCGCTGTCTTCGAAGTTGGATGCAGACATGCAAATCGAGCAGCCGGGCCCGTGCCACGGGATAGCTGGGGGAGACTTGGACTGGAACAGGCACGCAGCTTTTGAAGAGTCACTTGATTTCACCGGCCGACCGCATCTTTGAGGTTCTTGCGCTGCTGAGCAAAGACACCGACCCTTCTGTCAATGAAACCTTTGACAAAGCATGTGCAACCAAGTAGCTTGTTTGGATTTGAAGGCCAGGTAAGCCAATATGGCACGATTGACAGTTTTTGTCAGATGCAAGGTCCACAACTCCGCTTCACATGTCATTGATCCCAGTCGCCCTTAGTTCAAGTCGCTTGTAAATATGGGGCCGGGGGGGGGGGGGGGGGGCGGGTCGGCCAAAAAATTGGCAGTTCATCACTTCCGACGGGCAGACGTAACCAGCAAATCCGAAAAGAAAACAGCCGAAGCAGGAAGTGAGGGCTCAAGACCCTCAGGCACTCAGGGTCAGAGTCGAGCCCGGAATTTAACAAACAGAAGTGCTCCCTTCCGGCACCCATCAATTGTGGTTCCTGCTTGTTTGTGGGCTTTGCCACCCGATTCTTTGCACTTTCTTGTCTTGTTGGTTTTCTATCGCATTTGATATTCCAAGAGCGGGTTTGCAGAGGAACCCTCCCCCACCTTTGTCCTTGCACCGGAGCAGCTTGCGCAGTCTGGAGTTTCCAGCTTGGCCTCCCTGATTATTTCTGTCTATCGCTCCGTTTAGCTGAGCCCTCACTGGATGCATTAAGTTTGATGGCTGAAGGAGTCGCGACAATGCCTTCGAGACATCCATGTTCGTGAGCATTCCACAAACCAAACTTGCCGTGGTTTGAAATCAATCGAAGCTGCTGCGTGACAGCACAGCTGGGCCATTAGCAAACGAGTTGAAAACGTTCGGCCTCGATGCCCCCCCACCATCCAAAGCGAGCAAGCTGGCTCCACAGCATTTCGGTTTTGTCTTATCCATGGCTTGTCAAACTTTTGAAGGACCAAACTTCACCGAAGCCTCATGGCTTCTTGGCCGATTCACAAAATCACAGCTGAATTCACCTCACACACATGTCGCCTGCCTCATTTTTCATACCTCCAATTTACAGCTCCTGTTTTCAATCCAACCCATCCGTTCAACGGAATCAAGAGTTGTGGAATGGAAACGCGACGATAGACAGAATTCCTCAAACTGTTCGATCACTGCTGTCGTTGTGCATGCTGTGCCTGCATGCGGGCCCATGCCGATTGCCTGCCCCTCTCACCAGATCACCACCAATGTCGATTCAACCTATCGGCAAAATGGTTCGTCTCAAGCGTTGATCGGCAACGTGGTTGGTTGTAGGTTCTGACACATGTTGACCGTTTCCTTAAGCGCGGCAGGTAGTAGGACACCTTGGCGTTTGGCTCGCTCAATAGACGCTCCGCGGGAAGCCACATTCAATCTGTGGGCGCGGAGTTCCATTTCTAATGCAGAGGCCAGGCGATTGTCGGGACAGCTGCTCCGTATGTTTGGAACGTCCCTGGTTCCGGCCTCAGGTAGACCGTGGAAGCAGCCAGGGCTGCCCACTACTTTACCAAGCCGCCCGACAAAATCTAAGTCATGATGTGTATTCACCGCAGCGGAGAGTATCACGTTGGTTGTGTCACTGCTCACCTGTTTCTCAGGCATGGCAGCGGCGTTGCTTCTGGTTCTGGCGTTGACGGCCGCAGAAGCCAAACCCAGAGCGAAGGATTGTCATGATCTGCGAAACTCGTAAACACCATGCGGGTATGCCCTGGCTGGTTAGTTTCGGGTTTCATTGATAGAATTGGCAAAGGACATGGACATTGATTGACATCCGATGGAATGTCAGGAGCTGGCTCCAGATCCTTTGCCGTCTGCACAGGCTTTGCTGCGGGGCAAACCCCAGCATGTCGTAACGTCAGAAGATGCTCTGTGCGCAAGAGCCCGCAGAAGGTTATTATGTACTATCGATATGGACGATTTGGCTGTAGGGGATTAAAGAGGGTGGTTCACAATTTGGTACAACCCGGCCGCCGTCAAGGTTTTGGTGCAGAGGTTGCCAACTCTGTGGAAGGTAATTGGCGAGGCAGAGAGGTTTCAGCAAGTGAATAACTTTTCGCTACCACTGCATCGTAGTATTCCACTACTGATGATGCATTTCCACAGACACAACTCTTCCTATCTTCTTGTTTGGGCCTAATCTCTCATGGTCCGATTGCAAGCTGTGCGAGTCTGAGCTTTCAACTTGCTGCGCACTCTAGCCCAGTCGGCGCATGACTGCCGAAGAGTACTCCGAGCTAGATTCCCTTGTTTGCAGGTAGAGGTCCTCATCAACGGCAGCCGACCGGAGGACATCACCTTCTGAGCAGCAGCCGCATTCTGATTTCACAAAGTGCACGGTATGATAAGGCCACCTCTTAGCGACACTGCGATTGAAGTGGAACGCGAAGGACGTGTTGTCGCCCAAAAGCGACTTTGGCCCCATCGTGCAGGCTGACCAGAAGTGCAATGCAACCAGAGTTTGACGAAGTGTTTGTGGGCAAAAACTAGAGAAGAACCCTGCTGTGCCAGAACGCAAGCAAGCTGGATCCTCAATCTCCTCCTCGACTTTGGCGTGACCACAAGCGTTCTAAATTTCGATGACCTCATGTGCCGTGTAAGTTCTGCCAACTTGTCAGCAAAGGCTTGGCGAATTCGGGTACGCGAAGCACCCGAAGCATGTGTCGATTCCTCAAATGCACGCTGTGCAGCTTTTCGGTGCAGACTTCCCTGCCATGACCTTAGCGAAATGGTTCAAGCTCAGGTTGGACTGGAGCGATTTGCGGGGTGTGATCAAAGGGAGGAAATGCTCCACGGAGCAGGAACCGACATCGCCGCATGGAGTGACTGGGAAGACTGGCGAGTTTCCGCGAGGCTGATACACAATGCGGAGATCTCGTGTGCCGGAAGGTGCGCCTTGATGTCAAAAACCTTCGAGCAAAAACTCACAAGCTCCATGCACCACGGAGTGGCCTCAGTTAAAGCGTTTCCACCAATTTTTGCAAGTTGCGACGTTTCGGTCCTGCGCCAGGGTTTGTGTGCACATTGCACAGAAGACTCTGAATGCCCGTCGCTTCACCAGTGTGCGCTCAGCATGCCGCTTGATCGCAAGAGAGGCATAGTGCAATTTCGAGCGGACCCTTTTCTTTCTGCAGGAGTGGCGGCAAAACTTGCCGCGCCACCGGTCGAAAGGCCAGCAGCATCTCTTGCAAAGTGGGTTATCATTGTGGTCATCATCGGATCACCTGACAATCGAGATGTCGAAACCATGATGGACAGACCGTTATGCAGGATTCTGCCACTTGTTCGGCAGGGCGACATGCTCACACGGGTGCAACATGTGCCGTGCGGAAGTAAGCAAGGAGCCAGAGCATGAAGTGCGTATCTCTAGAGTCTAGAGAGTTATGTCACAGGTAGAGTTTCATGGCAGTGTTTTTGGCAGGCTTGGGAATCCGCCTGGCTTGACAGCAGCGAGAGCTTTGGAAGCACAGCCAGAGGGGGTTCTGCAGCCAATGCTGCAAAGCCACGAGGAACCTCCTTCATGGGCATAAGTTCTGTCTCATGTTGTTTCGGTTCTGCCATGTTCTGCCGAAATGAACAGACGCCATAAACACAGATGAAATGAAGGCTGTGCAACCATCACAGTTGAAAGCTTTGCAGCAGACTGATCACATCAGTCATGATTATGCTCAGGAAGTTCTGCACTCTTCTGATCCTAGTGCCAGCCACCCAGCGGTTTCCGTGCATGAATTGCCCCGAGGGTTCTTAACAGACGCGCTGGGTAGGTCTTCTGCTTTGGCTGCGGCATCCGGAACCGGCGGTGGAAGCATCTTCGTTCCGGTCTTGATCTCTTTCTCTTATCTACAGGACCAAGACAGGGCTAGAATGCAGACCGTATTGCTTGAACTCAAGGAGGATGGAGACGTGCATGATGTGCCTTGTTTCGAGTGGAAGGAATCAGCCGTAGTTGCTTTGTCACAATTTATGATTCTTGTCGGAGCCTCAAAAATACTGCAACTGCCATGCATCGCTATGGAAGATGCTACGGGGGTCCGGCCGAAGGTGGGCTCCATCGTGAACCTGTCCGTCTTCCTGGCCAGAAGGCATCCCGGCTGTTGTTTCCCTTGGAGTTTCCTTTGGATCATGCCAGCTTATAGTCATGATCGCCGCGCCTCCTTAAAGGCACCCTGATTTCCCAGAGCTGCCAGTCATCGACTATGAACCCTGGCAAAGCACAGAGCAAAGGAGGCTGTCAAGCTCACATAGCGTCGCATACACTGATTGCTTGATGCCAAGGACTGCATTGTTGTCCTCATTCCTATGCTTTGCCTTGGTGTCACACTTGGTGCCGGGAGCCTGGGCGACCACTGGTGCATTGCTGCCGTTGGTACATGGTAGAGGCCAATCGAATGTGAGGTTTTGGTAAATCGCACATCACCCTCATGGCTCCTGCTTGCGCTGCTTTGCTCCACTCTTTGCTTGATCCTCAGCATGCGGTCTCACTGGCAAATTGGTGTTTTTGGCTTTCCTGTTGGAGTGCAAGAGGCCTGGCTTTGTGGCGCACTGGCTCAAAAGGCCTGAAGCAGCTCAAGCAGGACTGCACTTCGCGGACTTAGCATGATCATGTTCGCCCGTGTGTGCCGAACACAGGGATCATAAGGAACTCGAGTCAGAAGCACAGCTTTGCTTTGGCGGTTGCGATGCTGCAGTGCAAGTGCTATTCGAGTGCAACAGGGGCACCGGGACAAACAGTTCCGTGGCCTTGTGATTGCTGGCAGCATGAACATGAGGTGAAATGAGGGAAGTAGCGTGCAGCACATTCGATGATGAAGGCACGAAAGGGTAATTTGCAGCCGAGGTTTGTCTTTTGACGAGATGTTTGTGCTGCCTTCCTTCTGAGATGTCGAACTTGTGGAATCTTCGTATGTTTCTGTGACATTGGCGCTAGTTGCAATGTGGGTCGCATCTTCTACGCTTAATTTTCAGCATAGTTGCCGAAGCATATTCGGTGATGAAGGCACCAAGGGTAATTTGCAGCTGAAGTTCGTCTTGTGACGAAACGCTTGTGCTGCCTTCCTTCTGAGATGTTATGCCATTGGCGTTCTCGGTGTCTTGATTGGATGTATCAGCACTCATGGTGCCGAGAAAGGGCCTATGATCAGACGAGGATTTCTTGTTAAACTTCTTTGGTTTTCATTTTTAACATCCACAATCCCCCAAAACCCCGGTCACGCCGGGCACAAGGCCAACCTGCTCCTTTATCGCTTTGTCAAAGTCATGTGGAGGTGGTTTCAAACAAGTCCCCGCTGCTTGCACCTGTGAAGGCTTCGTGCAAAGTCCGACAATGTCGGAGACTTTCCGATGGATGGCCCCATCTATGTGACAGTCACCATTGGCGAATCCATCTTTGCAGTTTTGCCACGGGTTTGGCACCATGCGTGGCACGATGCATCTGAGTGCGGCAGTTGGAATCACCCCCGGTGTGCATCACACTCATGGCATGGCGTGTCCCACCGTCGGGGCTAGCGAGCTTCTCCGGCTTCTCGGCTTCTGGGCCAGACCGGATGAAACTTGCCAAATTCGGGAAGACTACACGTTACTGTATGGCAGTGTTGCGGCGCATGTCAAGGATATCGTAGAGGCCGATGTCCCGATAGCATGTCAGGCAAGAGCATGCCAACTACTGGCAAGCATCGCTGTGCGAATTTTATTTTGCAATGCCGCAACGCACCACATGCCGTAGACTACAAGTATGCAGCCTCATCGGGATCCCGGGATTGTAGAAGAAAGCAGACAGCACAAGACGGCAAAGCCCCTGCATCTTGCATGTGCTCTTCATAAGGTCCGCAGCTCTGTGTGGTGGATTGTTGGCGCCACTTGTGAAGTGAATTCGGTGATGAAGGCACCAAGGGTAATTTGCAGCTGAAGCTTGTCTTTTGACGAGATGTTTGTGCTGCCTTCCTTCTGAGATTTCAGACATGTGGCACCGAACGCACTCGCCCCCTATGGTTATATAAATACAAGTAATATTGCATGTGGTATCCACGAGTCGATGTGCTTGTTGACTAACGCCCTTCGTGAAGAGATATTGGGGATGAAGGCACCAAAGGGTAATTTGCAGCTGAGGTTTATCTATTGACGAGATGCTTGTGCTGCCTTCCTTCTGAGATATCGAACCTGTCGTGTTGGCGACCATTTGACGTGAAGTGGGGCGCTGAACGGGGCTGCCCTGCAGTGTGGCATTGTGTTGTAAACTCCACCCCGGGCGCCTGTCATGACTGTGATGAAGGCACCAAGGGTAATTTGCAGCTGAAGCTTGTCCGTTGACGAGATGTTCGTGCTGCCTTCCTTCTGAGATTTCAAGCATGTGGCATCCTCAATCTGAATGCACTCACCCTGTAACTCAAGTTGCATGTGGCATGCCCGAGTATCTGCGACTCGATGTGTTGGTTTGCTAACACCCTTAATGAAGAGATATCGGTGATGAAGGCACCAAGGGTAATTTGCAGCTGAAGCTTGTCTTTTGACGAGATGCTTGTGCTGCCTTCCTTCTGAGATGTCGAACCTTTGGCGTCCCCGATCCGTGCGTCCCCGATCCGTTGTTGTGGACCAGCATGGTGTGAATTGTGCTTCCTTGGTAGTCGTGGTGTATTCTGCACCCAATTTACCAGTACTAGTCATTGCGGAAGCTTGCCCGCTGATGCACTCTTTGTTTTACATCCCGCACTTCACGTGACAGAGCAACCTTTGGTAACCCTGACAGCTTGATGTTCAATGCGGGCGCAGCTTGATGTTCAATCCGTGCGCTTACGGACTTGCTGTCAAGTAAATCATGACCTGCTTCTTGGTTGGGTACCAACACGTCACTCTTGAAGTGCGGGTGGCTTGCTATAAAATGCAACATGCTGGAGTCTGATGGGTCAGGCTGGAGGACTGGTTAGGCGCAACGCATGTTCCAACCCTCAACCTGTCTCGGAGGAGAGAGAGCTGTTGGCTCACCGTGCAGAGCTTGGCAATATTAGTCACAGAAGCTCAGATTTGGGGGCGAGCTCTAGTCTAATGTGGGGGGTTTGCTCTCTGGTCGGCATGGATTCCCCCACTCGAGATGTTGAATCTGAATGTTTCCTTTCAAGCAAGTCCGTGGCTGCTTCGCCTGCAGTCTCCGACGAGGATATCGCAAGCCGCGGGATTGGGTTCCACCTGGGTTCCTCCTAGATGGCCGCGACGATCTTCAAACCGCTCTGATTCCGGCCCCTGAGTAAGGGCCAGCTGCCGAAGATGATGTCCCACAGCAGGGCCCGGAGGCAGAGCCGTGATAGAACCGAGAGACTAAGAGTCTAACCGCAGAAGCTTGGCGCTCGAAGCTGCAGATGTTCATGACACCTCCACTGAAGAAAAACGGTCTGTGCTCTCGGTGGCAGATTCGCGAGGTGGTCATGAGCTACGGAGAGGTGCTGAAGGAACTGGTGCAAGCTAAGCGAGATACCCAATCACAAATCACAGAGATTGTCACGGCATGGTTGACCACTGGTTACAGTCGATTGCTAGGTTGGTGCGCAGTACCATCCGTCCCAAACGCATGCCTTTTTTTTGGATTGTTCCGTGTCAGTGCCGCATGATTCTCATAAGGTCGGAGCAGATTGCTGGCATCGCGATTGTGTGGTTGGTGATGCTCGGTGCCAGTTTGCACGGTGCATGCCTTAGTCAGTCTCCCTGCGAGCTGGATTTTCGCACTCCTGCGAGAGTCCTTTGCTGAAAGGCCTCCCGTACTGCTCGATCAACTACGGGCTCTTCCTGTGTGCGCCCAGCCGGGTTCTTCTTTTTCCAGCTCTGGGCATTCGTTGGACGAGACCGGTGGCTGCTACAGCACATTGGTTGCCCTATGGCAGAAACTTCATCAGATTCGTTTGCTCGTGGGACAGGCGCTGCTTCCATGGCCGCGGGCATATCTCGTAGAACATCTTCTTTCGTTGCAGTCTGTCCGACTGTCCTCTTCTCACTCTGGCCAATGCCAGCTGCTTTGTGAAGTCCTGGCAAGTCGCAGTGATGCTGTTCCCCCCGTCCTGACTTCAATGACCAGGGCTGTGGGCTCACCTGCTGCAACCGCCAGGTGTTTTAGCTGCTTTGCTCACTACGTTTGCGCTTGTGATGCCCCGCGCCCAGAAAATGCAGCACTCCTCGATCAGGAAAGAGGTACGATGACCGAAGTTCCAATCATAAAGTTGTCACCCCCTCCACACTGATGTCAGCCACAACTTGCCTCTAGTGAGTAAGCTCGGTAAGATTCAAGTTGCAGCATGGCCACAGTGTCCAGCTTTGGACGATCTCAGCACTCACAGGGCTAGATGTGCATCCGCCAAGGACATGGCGATTCCAAGCCACATCTTACTTGAACCCCATTGACTGGCTCAATGGCGGAGGGAAGGCTGGTCGGTCAAGTGAAGGTGATGCCCAGAAACAGTTCATCCAACTTGGAATTTTGCAGGACCGCCATCCCATGACCTTTCCCATGGTGGCTTTTGGCCTGTGCCTTATGATGTTGACGAAGGGCAGCATCGCATCGCATGGGTCCCCACTGCAAGTTGAAAATGTGGTGAACTCTCTGAGGGATGCGTCAAAATTTTGGCTTTGACAGGCAACACGATATCTCCGTCTTCAAAACTCCGTCCTCAACGCACCCAATGCCAGGGCTTACAGTAGTATATGACCATAGGACCTGAACCTTTGAATAGTACAGTTAGTATAACTAGTATAGTCAGTAGGGCTAGTATAGTGGTCCGTGATTGCGAAAAATCACTGCTACCAGGGATTCCGCCCATGCTCTGCTAGTTGACTTCGCTGTGGTGTCTAACAGCACGCTTTATTGCAAACGACTTATTAGCCTATGACGGTTTTTTTTGTAAAATCGTTACGAGGGACGGAGAGTTCGTTTCACTTAGAACGAGTGCAAGTGATAGACCAAAAAGCAAGTGACAAAGGGAGAAACCGTCCAACCTTGAGCCAATTGGTGCAAGAGTGCTCTGCTCGTGAAGAAAGGGATGCTGAAGACTTGGACGTTTGGCGGGAAAGTGGTGGCTGGTTGAGACTGACAAAAGGGTCGGAACATTGAAAAGTGCTTGAACATGGTTCATAATAGACACTACTTGGTGATTGTCAGGTGTGTGTGTGTGTATATATGTGGGAAAATGCGTGATGTGCCGTTTGAGTATCGAGAAAGTGGCTGAACACATAATTGAACAATTGCACTTGGTGTGTAGGTGTGGGGCAGGGTGGGGGTGGTAGGCCGTATGCTTACGGAAGCAAACATGGGTCCAGTTGCATGTCGGGGATGCCTTCGACAGCCTTCATTGGGCACCGCCAGCGCTGTCCGCACAATTGACAGATCTCCTGAGCATGACTGGAAGTCGTCGCCCAGCAGGCACCGGCTTTTTGGGTGCCATGCTGGGCCCGCGCCTTAGTCCGGCTCAGCTTTTGTGCCGGGCCAGCATTGGTTGTGGCATGTCGCCTTCAGTGACACCTGTCGGCGTGCAGGCCTTGGTGGCGGCATCTTGCTGAGTCCAGTCTTGATTGAGGCGGGATCGTGAGAAAGCTCAACTAGCACTCGTGAAGGTGTAGTGTGCGTCCGGGGTGAAGTGCTGCTGTGGTTTGCCAGCCTTGAAAGTTTTCAGCAGACTGGTTGCGAACACAACTTGCGGAGGTGCAATATGGTGCAATAGGTCAGACTGAAACAGATGCCTTCGGCATGCAGATGTTTCCACTTATTGAGCCGAATTCTTGAAGCCATTCGCATCCCACACTAGCCGCCAAGGTGGGGATGCACAGCGAGGCTGTTCAGGACCAGCTGCATCACTTCAGGGGACTGTCATGGAAGCCACCGCAGACCCCACATCAGCCGCAGCGTAGGAGTAGGAGACCGGTTCCGACGGTTCTTTGTCCGTGAGTCTGTCCCGTCTCGTGGAGGCCACCGTTGCCAGCTTCGTCTTTCTGCCGGCCTCCGAGCGTCGGTTTCCCGCCCGTCACGCCCCGAGCAGCGCTTCCCTTTGGAGGTCGAGCTCTTTGGCCACGATCCAGTACTTCATGATGGGACAGACTCGCGGCTTCTGAGTCCGGCCTTCAGACCGAGTCGTGTGCTCCTTCCCTAAGCCCGAGGATCGTCTGGCACTATGCCTTATGGTATGGTGTCGTGGCTGTCCTGGCCACGTACCTGGGCCAGACGGCCTGCGAGGAGCTCCCTGGGATGAAAACGCAGACAGAAATCGATTGAAGTTTTTGGAGTTTGTATCACAGAGCAGACGGCAGACAGTCAGACAGTCAGACAGTGGAGCTGAGCTGAGCTTCAGGCTTTCCGTGTTGAAAACCTCAGAGTTGGGCTGCCCTGTGCTGTTCGGGTTGGTGGCGCCAGTGCATGACGTGCTCCATTCCAAGATGTGCAGGTATTTATCCGCAAGCGCAGACGCTACTCCTTCATTACGCATCCTGGTGGCACATGACGGTCCTGGGTGAGAGTTGTGAACTAGGGCAGTGGTTGAGAGCCTTGCTGGCAATCCTCGTCATGCTGATTGCATCACGAGGCTTTCGGTCACCACCGTTCTGGCATTGTCGCTCTTTTGTCTATGCGTGGTGGGAACAAAAACAGCAGCTCGACTGAAGCACAATGCTGTTTCCGTCACGGGAAAGGTTCCTGGAATGCTTCATGTTTGAAATCGACATGTGAAGGTCCTGCACGACTATGACATGGGCAAGACAATTTGGTTTTCGTTCACTCGCCTTTGCTGCTGGGTAGCAGATGGCACTGGCATTTCAATGCCTCTTCACCTCGTTTCAGTTTGTCTGAGGTCAAAGTGGTCGTGGCACCATTATTCGTCCCAGCGTGGCCATAGGCTTTGACGCCACGCTTGCACTACGGCTGCAACATCTTGTGGCATCGCGGGAAATCTGCCAGGCGCAAGATGACCGCCATCAGGCGACTGCATCCAGCCGAAAACAAAGCACTGTGGGTCGAAAATGGTCCAAGTCTGTCGTAGATGCTGACGACGTCGTTTATGTCCAGTCGCTCCAGTGAATGGCAGCGCGGCGTGGCACCGCGAGGAAGAGATGCACCGCAGTTTCCCATTTGGCCCTCGAGACCTTTGACCTTGCCGTCCGCGCGCGCTTTTCGTTCTCTTGGCTCATGCACAACAGCAGAACCGAATTTCGGTGACAGCGCAACCTGCTAACGCATCTGCATGCAGCACTCATTCTAAGGCTAAGCCTTACTTTTGCCCTCTTGTGCGTCCTTCTCTTTCCTGCAGTGGAGCCACGGATCTGACGGTTCTTGTCGGCAGCTACATTGGCGTTTTTCAACTCCAGGGAGTGCTGTCTGTTTCGAGCCTGACGAGCTAGCTAGTCAAATCGGTCCAGTGGCATCTGCAGTCTGACTGCCATGAGATGCAACTCCAGAGATGTGGCTGCTGTTGCTTGGCAAGGGTACATCTTATCAGAAATAATCCCGTAACACACGTTCGCGACTCCGACGGTTTTCTGACATTTCTGGCTGCCTGAGCTATCCTGAGCTGTAGAAGGGAGACTCAGTTTTTCAGGCCGACTCCCTGACACCCTGGCGCTAGCCAAAGTCTTCAGATTGCAAAGTCGCCAAAGTCCTCATGACTTGCCAGGCCGACAATGAGCCTGGAACTCTTGAAAGGCTGCAGCTAACTCCAAATCAAAGAGGTGAAGCCTGAAGCCAAAGTAAAGGGACATTTGCGTAAGGGTCACAGCGCCGCCGGAAGCTCGGGCAAGCGTCTCTTTCGAAGGCTAAGCAAGTGTAGAAGACACAGGTCACAGGCTGGACATGGAACCGAAGCACGAATCCTTCCCCCCATCATGCCAGCACTTGCCCAATCAGGTGGCTTGTATAGTCGTATAGTTGACTGCAAAATCTGACCTGTCAGCGTCTCAACCCCTTGTAGACATGGCAAAGCTTCATGTTCACACCTCACAAAGAAAGCAGCTTTGCCTTCATGGCCTTGCTTGAGGCATTCCGATCGATTTCTGCGAGGGACTGTGCCCCTTGTGGCATGGAGAGAAGAGAACGGCGGTGTCTGCCACCGGTCTGCAAATAGTAGCGCAGTCGTCGCTGGGATTCAAAGCGGTCAGAGTCCAAGTCCACTCTTGCAGAGGTCAGGGCAGTTAGAGCCTTGGCGAGCAGAAAATTGGGGTGCACCTTCCTTTCAATGGTATTATGCATCGCAGTCTTCCACTGTGCGCATTGCTGGCAAACTGAGGCCGACGCGCTCCCAACCCGCCTGCGGCCCTTATCCGGTACCACGAGGTTGGAGGTCGCAGGCCAGGAAGCGTTGCGTGCATTCTGCTTTCCCGTTTGCCGCCTGTCAATGTGCATTGATGTGCAGATCCCAGCTTTTCACTCTAAACCTCTCTCAGGCTGGAAGACGACTACGAGCTTCAGGCTTGTTCATCACCGCCATGTAATGCAAGGCTGACCGGCAAGTGGTCAGCTTCGTGACTGGCCAGGATGAGATCCTTGGAAGCGGGATGTCAGGCAGCATCCAGCTCGTGACAAGTGGCTTGGCACTGAAATGTGGTGATGTAGATCGACGAGAATCTGTCGAACTGGCTCGCATCTGCCATTTCCAGCTCAGGTCCGTGTTGTTGGTTGTTGTGCTGAGTGAGTAAGGGATGATTCGTTTTTTCAGGCAAGGTCGACGGACGCAAGCATGCCTTGAAAACCTTTGACAAGAACGGACTGACCGAAGGCACGGAATGTGCGAGAAGCATGATCGGACGTAAGCGACCTTCAACGACAGTTTGTTCTGAACAGGCCGGTACAGACACCTGAAGAAGGAATGCGAAGTCTTTCTGACGGTGGACCATCCGAACATCGCGCAACTGCCGCTGGCTGAGTCCCAATGTTCCGCTGTTCGTGACATTTCATGACTATCAGTGTGAACGCCCGCCTCTGGGCTTGCAGCCATTTCAGCCGTCGCCAGAACGTTACAATCACCAGTTGAATGTTATGCTAGGAGCGATGTCTACGAATGGGAAGATGGCATTGCACTCATTATGGAGCCTCTTGTTGGCATTCGCTTCATTAGCACTCGAGATTCGGCTTTCTGATGCAATCATGGGAAGGTACTGCTCCGGCGGGGAGCTGTTACAGCGCCTGGAGGCTCAAGAGGTCTACGACGAAGCGGCTGCTGCAGAGGCATCGTACCTTTCAGAGGGTTCAGCCGCCATTGAACTCGGCATGGCAAATCAGCGTGAAGCCGTCGAGCAAATCGTCGAGCTGTTTTTGCCGTGATGCAAGTGTCTCTTTATCCAGGCAACGTCCCAGATGCTCCAAGCTGTCAACTATCTTCATGCGCACAGCATCGTCCACCGCGATCTGAATCTCGCTCCGAAGAGTTGAAAGAGCGCTTGTGCAGTGGAACATGCTGCGTCTCGAGGAAGCTCCAGAACTTCCTCTACGACACTGGTTTGCACGTGTACTGATACATGTGTCCCCTTTTGGCTTGGAAGCGCTGTATTTCCGGCCACGTGTGGTACGCAACAGAGAGCGTCAGCGAGGCAATGCGCGGTATGGGGCTACATCAGCTCACGTTTTCCGAGCCTGCAGTCAAGTGTGCTGGGTATAGTAGTATAGTCTGGCTCCAGGGAAATCGGAGATCGTGTGATGAAGCTGCACCGCCAAGTATCAAGGAATCAGCAGAGAAAGATGCCCTCCTGAAGCTGATTGACTTCGGGCTTTGTGAAACCCTGGAAGACGCTTGGCAACGAGGCTACACGCTTCAGCACGGGGCCTGTAGCAGTAGGGGCCCGTCGGGGTCGTAGGGGCCCGCAGGGCTGCATGGCCATGATGTAGTTTGCCATGCTCAGGATGCTGACATGAAAATGAAAGCTTCTGTCGGCACGCTGGAGTTCTGCAGCCCAGATGTCATCAGTGGCAAGGCCTGGGAATCTGGGAACGCTCATGGAAGTTTGGCGCTGCTGGGTCGTGCCCAAACACAGAGAAGCAAACGGTTGGCACCGGGCAGATTTTCAGACTTAGCCCGTCTTTCAATTCGGTCATGTGTGCACCGCAAACCTCCGGAAGGGTGCCGACACTTACAGGTCGGCTGAAGTCCAATGTTGTCACAGACGTTTGGAAGCAGTGGGTGTGGTAAACAGGCACACAAGCCGAAATATGCTGAGAACGGCAATCTGCGAGGCTAAGGCGGTACTGGTACATGGAACAAGGCTTGCAAGGGAGTGCGCAGAACTGAAAACCCTAACCCCGATTCGTAGACATGAAATCCCGAGGATGCCAGGATTGCCGGTAACTAAAACTCTGACCGCAGTCTGGTGCAGGAGTACACCAGCCAATGTGAACCTTGGCTCGTTTGGACGTTTCATTCTATTAGCCTACGCCTTAGCCCTTTCCGTTGGTATCGCAGCTGCAGCAAGTCTAGCCATGCTCTTCAGGACCTCTGGAGCTTGGGTGTTGTGGCGACTCAGCTCGCATTGCTAGTGCACCCTTCGCCTAGGAAGAGGCAATATTAATATTCATAGCGAAGGGCTGGGTGCAAGGTAGTACAGGCTATCACATAACATGCTATACATTCCTGTGACGGGGCGACAGACTGGATCTGGGGAGGCTCAACGCCTCTTTGCTTGGGTTCAACTGTGGCCGATGTTGCACAAACTGTTACGCAGTCATGACCATTGTCCGAAAACTCTCAGACAACAAGGGAAGACATGTTTGTGGTCGAGGTCTTCATGCTTCTTGCGGGTCGGCCTCCATGGAGCACCTCAAGAGGATTTGAGGGCATGCGCCACTTGTTCGCTAAAGGTGAGATGCCGCTCTGGGTCGGGCGAGAGGTCCAGACCACGGAACTCGTCCTGTGGTTTAAGGGGAACGGTTGTCTGTGACAGATTATGACAGCATTTACCAAACCAGGCAAGAGTGAGATCAAACGTCGCAGGGCCGACGCCGGAAAGCCAACACAAACAGAATCCTGAAAAACGAAAGCGAAGATCACGCCGAAGGACTGGAAAGTTATTGCGCAGTAAGCCAGAGGGCAGTTCGCTGAAATGGGGTGGGCCTGGCAAGGACACAGGTATGGAGCATAGGCAGTTGGGAGCACAAGATCATGCACCCAAACTGGTTTGCACCGTTCCGAACCAACAATATGTTTCCGCGTGTTGCAGGGAGCGGATCGCGAGGGGTGTCTGGGCAAGGAGCCTGCGTGTCAGCGCAAACTGTCAAATCAAGTGTCGTTTTTATGCTGTAGGAAGAACATAGATCTCTGGCACATTCCAAAGAAGCCCTGCTGGACTCCTGTGCTCCAGCTTGTGTATTCGTGTCCACTGAGTACGAGCCGCTGGTGAATAGAAATAGTTGCGGGCCTGCCGCACGTTCAGTGAGCACGAGAGATCCTGACTGAGGCAAGGACATCGAGAAGGGCCTGGTGAAGTGGGACCGGCTTCACAATGTCTCCGAGCACGCGAAGCTTGCACAAAGAATCACAAACATGCTGGTGCGTGCATTGAGTTGCAAGCAGCTTTTAAAGCGATGATCTCAGGAGTCAACCTGTCAGCAGCGGGGAAGTGGGTTCAGCAGCTATCACCAAGCGGTTTCGGGGCTTGCTGAATGCTGAGGAGAGACTTCGTGCAGAAACTTCTCGTTGTCAACCCCACCCAGCGCATGACGGTGGCTTGTTATCTACCAGAATGCCTGAATCTACTTGTCCAGATGACCGTCAGTCTTTTGGATAGTATGCAAATCAGGGAAGAAAGCGCCATGCAGCCGTTGCAAACTCAGGCAGAAACTGCACTTCAACACCCTTGGCTTACCAAAACGGCGCCTTAGGTTGCAAGTTTGCCAGTTGCATGTCCATCGGCGATCGCAAGCCGCCCTATAGCTTTGGGACTCGGCACTTCAGCGCACGGAATCAAACATCTTCAACTGTTTGCCGAGTTGACATCTGTTCTTGCAACAGAGTTGTCATGACATGCTGCTCCAATTCCGGCCGCCACAGCCTGATTGTTGCATCCCATGTGAGACCACGGTGCCCCTGCAGTTTGCGGACGTCGCAGAGCCGAAGTTGGGTCCCTCTGTGTTGGTGTCGCTGCAACAGTACTTCGGCTGGTATATTTGCCGAGCTTGCCGCTTTTGTGCGAACTCCTCGTGTTGTCATATATCTTCAGGTATTCTTCTAAGTCGAAGATGCAGCGCCTGCTTCTGCCGCATGCCTGCAGATCTGGAGCTGTCATTTCCTCGGGGTACAGTCAGCTGGTCTGCGAGCTTTTGTCCAGAGGCGGAAGAGTCACTTCAAGAACTGCTTGCAAGGCAGCTCTTGGCCCAGGAGCTTGCCCCGGAGGAGGTCAGCGAGATGCGCTGGGACCTCGCGGCGCTTGCAGAAGGCAGAAGGTGAAGGGAGAGTCCTGCCAAGGTGAGCTGTTCATGAAACTCGACTCTGTCGACGCCTTAGTGTTGACGCGGATCCGTGGCACGGGATAGTGTCGTGCACAGCGTGCAAGGACGCTCGGGGCACCATCCGGCTTTGCGACTTGAAGGCCCGGGGCCGATCACCTTCAGATCGGAGTGCGGCGACACGGGATGATATATATATATATATATATCCGTGCCGTTGCACTGCCAGTCGAGCATGGCAAACATCTGCACGCATCATGTAAGCAGCGCAGATTGCATTGCATCTTCTGATGACCCGGAATGCACCTGTGGGCCATGAGGATGCTATGCGCCGTCACTCGCGCCGTGCGCCTCGACGGCACAACGGCCATTCCAAGCCTTTAAGCCTACTTCTTCGTGCCTTGCTGCGGCCGTGCCCCGTTTGTTCGTGTGTGATGCTCAGGCCAAAAATCAATCTCCCACGAATGCGAGGCACCGACTTCTCGAATTACTAAGACAGTTCTTTAGGGTTGATTTGATCTGGAAGTGCATAACGTTTCCAGACAGAGAAGATCCAGAACAACGTTTTCCTGATACCCTTCGTAAACAACTTGGGAAGCTGTGGGGGATGTTCGGCTGAGTCACCACAGGCAGGAGGACAATGCTTCTGCTTCGGCTAGTGCAAGCTGGAATTTCACGATTTCAGCACCCGGCAGGTGGACGGAGCATTTGCTCAGTCCCAAGATGCGCGTTGGAATCTCAGACCTTCTGGCTGACGGCCACAGTCAGACTGCAGGAGTTGGAGATGGGTGAAAGGCGATCTGGGTGACAATCTCTAACTGCAGCCGCAGTGAATATGACGAATGCAACAATTGAAACACGGCAAATTCGATAAATAGTATTTTCAACACGCAAAGCCTGGTATATTTCAGGCCTATAGATTCATAGGCGAAAACCTTTATCCTGTGTAACAGGCGCGAGCCTTAGCTAGGTGCCAGATCCTTCCCCGTGTGCTTGCCACCCTCACGAACATAACAGACCTGCGGGTGTGTGTTTGTGTGTGTCTGTCCGTCCGTCCGTCTGTCCGTCCGTCCGTCCGTCCGTCTGTCTGTCTGTCTGTCCGTCCGTCCGTCCGTCTGTCTGTCTGTCTGTCTGTCTGTCTGTCTGTGATCCTGCGGATACACGGGATGCTGTTTCAGAATTCTGGACGACCGCGTTTTCGATGGCCGTCAGCCCGCAGTTGTGCCTAAGGCTTCGCATCGCCGTCGGATTCGACAGCCACTTGCCATGTGTCAATCTGGAGTGCGCATCGTGACATCAAAACCACAGCGTTTTGCAAAGCCACATGTAGTGACACGGTCTCAGCTGAGGGAGACGGCTCCTTTTCTGGTTTCGCCTCCAGTTTCGCCTCCAGCAGACGAGGCAGATGCCCAAACCAAGCCTTGGCAGAAATCGCAGCTCTACCAATATCTCGGAAAGTTCTGGTTTGGCAGGCAGAGCAGATTTTCTCGGTGTTGGATGCCAATGGTGACGAGGAGGTCTACTACTCTGTTCGGAGCTTACGGTGGAGAACCCAACTCCGGTGAACTCTGCCTCCGTTGGCTCGAGTGCATCGCCTCGATCGGAAAGCAGGGCTCGGTGCGTTGCACTCCCCCATCGTTCGCTCGCACGTTGAAGTCAGGATGCATTGTCCATTCCGCAAACAGCAGCTACCATGTACAGATCCGATTGCTCTCAAGAACTCTATGGGAGAACTCTCGCGAGCTTTATGCCAGCATTCCGGGGGTTTGGCTGCATGCTAAAGTGCATCTTAGATGTAGTACCTTTGGCGGCCCCTTGTGCCTTATTCTCCTGACCTTTGACCTGTGTGCCTGGGCATGTCGCAATTGAAATGGAGTGTCCGGTACTGCATTACGTGGATATACAGCTGAACCTCTTGACCGGCTCTTCCGAGTACTTCATGAACGCTGATTGTGATTAGGGTTCCAAGCAGCGCATCAACCACCCAGTGCTCATCCGTACTCATTGGCTTTACATTCATGCAAGATGAAGCAAGCCTGTCCAAACAACCCGCAGATGCCCAAACGAAAATTGTTGAGGAAGCAAAGAGCGGAGGGTTATGAGTCCAAACGCACAGATATCTGTAAGGACTTCCTGGCTGCAACAGCGAGCGTCCGCTGGCAGCTACGGCAGCTTGTCCAATGCCATAGAAAGCAAGCGAGTTCCTGTCGACCTCTGCCCAGGCGGGAGGTTCTCCGCAAGATTTTCAATCGCTTTGACCGAGATCGCTCCGGCACTATCAGTATGCATGAGGCAGGACCGGCAGGAGTGCTTTGTCCAGCTTGCAAAACTTACTTTGTCTGCACCCTTCAGCTCAAGACTGCATGATGACGAAGAAAGGTAGAAGCAGAGAGAGGTAGAATTCCAAAACACCCGGGGACCCCATTTCAGCACATACCAGGACCCGGTGTCAACATCTAGCGGACTTGATTAAAGATGGTGCAGCTTCGCAACAAGAGCCCAACAAGTTTGAGAAGACCATTTGATGAGAGCATGTCCGCCGTCATGATCATGGGGAAGCAAAGAGTGCTAAAGCTAGCAGAGTCTTTTGAAATGTTGTAGTGGGATCTCGCATTCCTCGTGCCTTTGACGTTTCTGACCAGGTTCAGCTGGTTCTCAAAGAGTCGCTCGAGGAAGGTAGTGTGGAGGAACTGTTGTCACCCAGCTGACTTCAGGAATGTCAAGTCTTTTGCAGCTCATGTGACGACCTTTCCAGCCGCAAGTGGGTTGATTGATAGCTTCTGCTTGCTGCTAGGGAAGAGTCCAAAGTGGCTCTCGACAGCAACGGCGAGATCAGTTTCGAGGCATCTGGCATTGGAATGCGCTGGATGGTTCGTCCATTGGTGTTCCATCCGACACCCCTGACCCGAGTGTCAACTTTACGAGGACGACACTCCTAGGTGCTATTGCTCCCTTATCTTCTGTGCTTCGATTTCAGGCTTGATATATCCGAGATGTTTCGCTGTTCGGGCATCGCTGAGTCTTGTGCTCAGCCTGAGGGCGTCAGGACCGTGAGACCATGGGACCACGGGGACTTGCGGAAAGCTGAACGCGCCGTGACGACTTGGCTAGGGGTAGGAGGTCGGCACTCTTCGATCCGCAAGCACTCTGGACATCACTATTTACCAGATGTTCTGCAGACTGAGAATTCCCGGCAGTCCGGCAACTTGATCATAAGAGTCAAAGGACACCTCCGAAATTTTCGGTAGTTTCGTTGCCGTTTATCAAGGGTTACCTGTTACCTCCTGCAGCAATGCGGATTTTAGTGTTTATATGACTGCTTCCTTTGCTTACGTCAGTTTGTCTCCAGATGTCGTTTTAGCAAGTTTAAGTTGTAGGCAGGTCCGACCACACCCAGTTGCAACAGTCTTGCAGGCATTTGTCAGCCTCTTCGAGAAAAAGGATGTTCTGCCCCCTGAGCAACTCCTCCCTCCCGAGCAGAATGTGCCGGCCACCGAGATACAGCTCCTGCTGACACTGAAGCACTTGCACTGATGCAGCTGTCAGCGAATTTGCATGACATCGCCGGACTTGGCACGAGGCCCCATGCGCTTCCACGGGAGGATCTGCTGCGCGCCTGCGCCTGGGATGAAACGCCCAAAAGTCCCGTGTCTTCGACCAGGACACATCCGCTCCTCTTTGCAGCTCTGGCTAGGGTGGCTACTGTCGCGTAATCATGACAGTGCAGGTTTTTGGGGGAAGGCGGTGCGGGAGCAGGACATGTTGTAAACGCCACTGTGCCCGAAAAGAGAATTGGTGTAGTGAGTAATGAGTGGTAGCCGGCAAGCAGTAGGTAGGAAGGTAGGTAGGTAAGGTAGGTGGTAGGTGGCAGGCGGTGGCAGTAGCAGTAGCAGTAGCAGTAGCAGTAGCAGTAGCAGTAGCAGTAGCAGTAGCAGTAGCAGTAGCAGTAGCAGTAGCAGTAGCAGTAGCAGTAAAGCGCCACGAGCGGTTCAAACATGTGGGGGCATTCCAAAATGCCATGGCATTAAGCTGCGAAGGCCACCTCCGAGGGTGGATCATTGAGGAGGTCGAATCCCTGCTATCTCTGCAGCCTGCATACACGGCTCGTTGGGCTGAAAACCTGATTACTGGATTACTCAGGGATTTACCATTCAAAGAGATCCTCATTACCTCGGCTGCTATTCTACCCACCTCCTCTCTGTGTCGGTTGGTGTCTTGGCTATCAAGAAACTACAGAAGTGAGACGCTACAGGCTCTAAGAGAGATCGTGGAGGACAATGCCGCAGCTGCCACTACAATTCCTGGCAACTGAGCCCCCTGCAGACGGGAAGGGCAATTCCATACCGCTACCACCTACGAGAATATCAAATATGGATGCCCGCTCGACCCGGTCCCAAGTCCGGGCACCGCTAGCACAAGGCGACGATTCTGCTTTACATGAACCGGTGGGCGCGAGGGTATCCACGGACACCCCATACGTGGAGGACACTGCAATTGCAGTGAACAATGGGGACGGACGGCATATTACCTTCCGCGGGCCTCAGGACAAAGTCAAAAAGAGGTCCTTGCGCCGCGCTCTGAAACGTGCAATTCAAGATGGACAGGCCACATACCGGGGGCGTCCACTGCGAGTGTGGCATCAACCGGA